AGTCTGAGTCTTGGATGCCCTTTCGCCCCCTTCTGCTTCTTGGGTCATCCTCTCTAAATCTGAACCCATCGCCCTCTTCATTCACCTGATGTCTTTGGATTGATTCCCCTCAGCGCGAGTTCCTAATCCGCAGTCGGCATCAATCTCTCTGGGCTGAATTACACAATATCCGTCAAGGTCCTCATATTTTTGCATTTGATCTCTGGATGTCATCTTGCATCGATCGATACCACATTTGATCCCTCGCTCTTTCGTCACATCTCCGTTTTCATTCTTTCATCATGCGGGAAGTCAATTTCAGTATTCCCAATGTGAACAAGGCCGCGGTCAACATCACCACTACCCTCTATGACCGCCGTGCCCTTGATTGCACATCGACTTTACCGCTCATCAACTCTCTCAACCATCTTGCATACCTCACAACCTCGTCCGCCCGGATTCGAGATATCCTCACCGTCGATGGCGGCATTGAGCGATTGGTATGCATCCTCAAGGAAGGTCGGAGCAAGGATTTACTGGAAATGTGGAAATGGAGCCTCGCCTTTCAATGTGTTGTCAACATTGGTGTACGGGGCTCTGAGAGTGTGAGGACAAGAGTGGTGGAAGCCGACATGGTCCCAGTCATTGCCAGCATTCTGAACAACTACATCAAGGTGGTAGACAAGGTGCGATTGCGCACCGATCTCGATTCCGAGAAGCAGTCCTCTTCCAGGCAGTCAAGGCCCAGCAGCAACCGAGACGTCTCCACTCGATCCACCCCTATGGACGTAGATATCCAGACCGAGTCACACCCGCAGGTCGAGTCGCACCACTCGCGTCGACAAGCCCCTCCGCCGAGTATCGAAATCCCCCGGCCTTTCTACCAAGACAGCCAACCTAACGACCCCGATGCCATGGATATCACATCTCCTCCTCGTGTCCCTATGACATCTCCCCCGGAGCGCAGTACATTTGGCCAAGAAGCCCATAACCACCGGTTGAACGATGGGCGGTTCCCGCGCGCTAGCAATCGCCTGCGGTCAATGCAACCTCTTGCCACCGCGGTTCCCTCTATGGATACTACGGATGGATTCGGATTACGTCCTGTGCGTGACACCGAGCGTCTTCCTAGCATGCTTCCCAGTCTGCAGACCGGAATCGTCTCACAACCTGACTCCCCGACCACCCCAAGTGGTCCCCTCCACTCACAACCTCGCAGCCTTCCCCAGACTATTGCCGCCCGCCAACGTCCTTTGATCCGCCAGCAGCAGTCGGCGTCCGGTGAATCGGATGATGCCCACGGCGAAGATTCGACCATGGGAGACGATAGTGCTATGGGACAGCCCGCTGAAACCATTGTTGGACTCCCGAACAGGATGGAACTTGACAGTGTTGACGAGCGGGACACAACGATGCTAGACGGTGTCTCTAACGCCCATGATCTAACCGTCACTGATCCATCTGAAGGCGGCCCGGAGGTGGAGACTTTCAACATCACTCATCGTTCGACTGTCGACGGCAGCATCATTAATAACGGCAACACACAGGCCAACGGCGGACTCGGTCTCTCTCCTACCCAAGCTACCAACAATCCTAATTCTCCTACTCTCGCTCCTAGCTCCTACGCTTTGTACCTTCGGGAACGTCCCGCAGCCCAAGGAGTCTTGACAGCCATGCCCCGTGATGAGGATGTCCTGATGTCTCTTCAGCTACTAGCATATGTCTCCAAATACTGCAACCTCCGGTCATACTTCCAGTCATCCCATCTTGTCCCCAAGTTGAAAATTGATCACCAGCTCTATCTTTTGGATGAGGACTTCGACTCCTGCCCCCCTTCGCCCCCTGATATATGTGATGAGGAAGACGAGTACCTTCTTTCCGAGGATTTCAACATCTTCCCCCTAGTGGAGAAGTATACTGTTCGACATCACTCCAAGGACATGCAATACTGGGCGTGCGTGGTGATGAGAAACCTCTGCCGTAAGGATGAGGCGAGAGGTGGCATCCGCCAATGCGCCTATTACAAGTGTGGCAAGTGGGAAGAATTCCAGCGCCAGTTCGCCAAATGTCGGCGTTGCCGTCGCACCAAATACTGCAGCAAAGATTGCCAGAAATCCGCGTGGGTATACCACCGGCACTGGTGCCATACGACCCCTTGATACGACCCGACGACCCCAGAGGAGTTTCGTTTTGATTTCCATGCATACCGACTCGCATAGCGTCATATCCGTCTTGCGTCTGCCTTTCATTCTGTTCCAAGGTTCCTCTTGCGCATGGCATTTCAGAATCTGGCGGCGTTTATATTTCGACCCGAAGATACCTTTTATATGTCTAGCCTTCTCATATTCCCTTTCTCGCACAGCCTGCCTTCATCTTGGTCCATTGACGTTGGATCGTCATTTCCGAGCCCTTGTTTCATTGCTCATCCACATTTGACCATTTCTTATGACTGTATATCTCATTCTAACCTCCAGTGGCAATATGCCCATTGCCTTTTGCTTTTTTTGGCCATTATGTTTTCTCTCATAACTAATTGCGCTGTCACGACTTTCCTATGTCAGTAGATGGGCATAATTGCCGACAACTTGGGTCGTGTTATGGTCATCTGGAGCATTTTGGTGCACATCCTATCTATGATTCTGATTTATGTCCGGAGGACCTGTCTTTTCTGTGTTTGCACTATGCCTCAACGGCACCGGCGTTTATAATTTATTCCCAGTCTCACGAATGACTCTGTTCCCATCTACCCAATGCCCAGTAAGCTACATGTAGTCGGTAATTCAGGCTTCGTAGAGCGCCAAAATTGAAGCTATGTGATCCCCACCCTCACTCATCCTTAGTGAACCCATACGTAGCCTCCAATCTTGACATAAGATGTTCATGCGCCGTCAAAGGCCTCTTTCCAGGAACTAAATTCCCCGCTCCACCTCCAAATCCAACCCTCCCATCAGCAGGAACACCCCCAGTCCGCTCCCGATGCGCAGCAACAATCCCACTAGGAACAGGCACCAACTCCGTCTCATCAACAGGATGACAGAAATAAACCAACGTATACCGATCCTGCGGATTCGGGCTCCGCTGCTCAGCAAGCGGGAAAACAACACGGTGCACCGTCGACTTCAGCAGCCCATCCGTCCAATAACTCAGCAAGTCGCCGATATTCACCAAGATCGGCGGGAACGGATACCCCTCCGCCTCGGCTGCGGTGCCGGGCACGATGGGCACAGGCGCCCAGCTGTCTTCTGGAGTCAGGATCTCTAGCCCTGGCTGCCCGGGCCGCTGGAAGAGAAGTGTTATGCTGCCGTAATCGGAGTGCGCACCGGCTCGCACGTCCTTATCGTGCTTGTAGGCTGCTGTTGTCGGTGAGAAGATTGATGGGTAGTATAGGTACCGTAGGATGCTGCCTGTCGCTCCTGTGCTTGGGTCGTGTCGGGTTGTGAAGAAGTCTTCTTGGATCTAGGGTTGATGGTTGGTATAGATTACATATTTATGTGACTGGGCGTGGTGGTTATGATGGATGTATAGACTCGGTGGCGTTACGTACCTCTAGACCTAAAGCAAGCAGAGTCAGAATTCGGGTGCAGGTTTTGTTGCAGAGTTCGGCGAAGCCGTTGATCTCTGCTTCGTGGGGTTCCAGTGACGGTGGCAGAAGCTGTTGGGCTTTGCTGTCTTTGAAGTCGCCGAAGTTCATGGCTCTAGTTGTGTGGTTAGTTCATGGTTGGGGGTATTTCAAGGCTTGGAGATATGGTTGTTCCATACTCTTTAAAGTCTCCGGTCTATTTGCCATATCCTGTGTCAGTCTTCGTACTATATGCGGGTTGGAGGTCATAACCTACCCGCTGATGCTCGGGGTCGAGGGTTTCTGTATGCATTCCAGACCAGCCACGGTTCTATAGATATTGTTAGACTGGATGTGTTGTTTGCCTTTAGTCTTATTACAAACATTTGGCTGGATCTTGCATGTCTCCTTCTCCTGTGAGGGAGACGAAAAGAACTTCTTTGACTATAGAGATGGTCAGATGTTATGCATATAGATGTCAACAGTTGGAGTGTAATGCAAGTCTTACCAATCCAAATGCATGATCTACATCCTCCACGGTGAAATCGGTTCCCTTGCTGTTGACGTATAGAAAGCCATACTTTGTAGCGGCGTCCAGCATGGCCTTCCCCACGGCGGGGTCATGGGGATTGGAGATGTCAATGACGGGGAGCTCGATTGGGACTGTGGTGTCTGCCATTCTGAAGTGAGACAGAAATAGGACAGCAGTTAGGGTTCAAGGTTGGAGTGAATATATAGTTGAAGATAGGGTTGAAACCACTATTAGTGCACATATGATTGACTATCGCGTATCTTCAATATCGCGATAATCAAATTGCGTCCAACCAATCCAATTTCTTGTTTAATAGTCGGCTCCAGTCAGTTAGGCGATATCCGACCTGAATGGACATGGAACCCCGCCGGATGTGTCATTGCCCCCGCTTAGTTATACACCTGAGCTGGGCATAGATCTTATAAATATACGCCGAATTCACTCAGCAAGGATGATAAACATTGTCTAGACGATTTTGTTGTACGCTATAACGAATTGTGACTGTTTTGTTCCTATTTAAACACATATCGGGCATGACTTCATTATAAGCCGTACATTCCCCTATAGGAAGCAGATAATCAGGATCTGAATACACAGATAGGAGTTGAACATGGCATAACTAAATCGAATACACCCACAAAAGACCCGAAACCAAAAAGAAGTGGTTGAAACACGCGAAAAACAAATTGATGTGATGCGTTTGAGGCAAAAAACAAAAGGACAACTCCAACTCCGCCTTCCCCCCCTCGTGATCTCGCCCTCCCCCATTCCGGAAAACCCAAACAATCCCAGCTCCGATTCATCATATTGTGATCACGGAGCTTTTGATCTGCTCTTATATCCTTTGATTTAACCTCCTGTTTCCACCTTCGGGCTTTGATGCCCGGCGTTGCCGTGCTTTCAGCCCTGTGACAGACAAGCTCCAGAACCATGCCGAGTATGCAATAACACAGCTCCACAACCCGCAATCGCACCAGCTAACCTTTTATCTCCATGACTAGTCCGACCTCTCGATGAATGGGCCGTTGGCCGTACCCAGTCCCTACCCCTCTCAGCACTGAAGGGTGCCGTTGTTGGCATTGATGCGTCGCACTACATCAACCAACATCTCGTGAACCAGTCAACCCGGGAAGCGCTTCTAGGCGCACTAGGCGGATTCCCGTTCGCCTTGAGGAGTAATATCGAGAAGGAATTGCAGACTTTCAAGAACCTTGGTGTCGCCACTATCTTCGTCTTCAATGGGTTGGAATTCGGCAAGAAAGAGCACCGCGCCCAGCCCGCATCGACGCGCTCATTCGACCAAGCTTGGGACCTTTACGACCAGCAACAGGCAGACCAGGTAGTCGATGCCTTCAGCAGTGCTGGTATGACCACCTTCTATCCTTCTTTCACCCTTTCCCTGGTGATGGACCTGCCGGGCCTCTATCGTTACCACTGGGTACAGCGAAGCTCCCAAACAATCGCTGACACAACCGAACCCTCAGGCACCCCGCCCCCGGAGACACTTTTCAAGTTCCTTCAACGAATCTTGACCCAGAACGGAGTGGAATTCATCGTAGCGCCATACAGCGCCGTGGCTCAGGTGAGTGGCTACCTATGCGCCATGCTTGGATTGTTGTAAGTTCTAACCAATTCTTATGGATAGCTCTCCTACCTCGCCCGTGGTAGCAATCCTGTAGTCGATGCCGTTTTCGCCCCCTCCGAGGCCCTCTTGTTTGACCTTGACAAGCTGGTCACCCGTATCGACACCGAGCCCGCGCAATTCTTCTGGATCACGAAGCAAACCTGCCAGGAGGAGCTGGGTCGACTTTCAAATGAACAATTCCTGGACTTCTGTTTACTACTGGGATCCCCCTTCCTGCGCTCCCTCCCACTCTTTGAGAACCCTGCTTACCCCGGCAAAAGCCCCACCATTCGTGATGCGTTGCCGATGTTCAACGCAGCCGGACGCAGTGCATTGACACTGTGCGCCCAATTTGAAGAAGATCGCCGTATGCAGGAGCTTCACTACGCAGACTTGTATAAGCGAGCATATATGATTGTGAAGCATCATGTCTATATTGACGTGGAAGGTCGAGTCGGACCCATGGATCCAGAGAATACCTCGTCGGATATGCATGAGCTTATCGGGCAGCGCCTCCCAGAGGAGCTATACTTCTATCTCTCTAAAGGTATCATTGGAGCTGATGTACCCAACTTCCTCACGACTGGCGAAGTTCGCATCTCGCTACCGCTGGGTACCGAAGACACCGAGATTTACCGCCGGCTTGTGGGTGAGATTTTGACACCCATCCGCACCCAGTCTATTTGCCTTTTAGCAAACTCGCTTCATCGATTCTATCAAACGAAAGTCATTCGGATCCGCCCATGGTTCGATGAGAACTCAGAGCGGACGATCAACCTCAAGGGCATCCCATCAGTCAAGGAAACCATCAATTCCTGGAAGATCCATGGGGATAAATTCCCCGAAAGTATCAAGAAGCTTCAGGCGCCTCGCGGGTCGTTTAAGTTTGCTGTCCAGAGCTTAAGTGACTCTGAGTTTGCGTCCAAGTCATTTGCTAATAAAGAAACACCTGTAAGCTTACCTATAGAGTTGACACTACCGATGACTAACAGCTTCGATAGGCACTTTCATTGCAGGAGGATATTTTATCTAATGTTATGTGGCGCTTCCTACAACTCCGTGGATACGTTGACGACAAGCACAAGCTCACTCCGTGGGGCCAGTGTCTAGTGCAGGCACTATCAGCCATCGATCCTGCGGACAACCTCGAGGAACCTATATTCATTGCGATTGAGATGATCCGCTTGGGTCTTCTCAACACTAAGAACTGGTTCTCACATGTATCTGGCGGTCCCATGAGAGGGTCCGAAGACGACAAGACCTTCAATATGCTGGTTTCGCGTGTTGCATGCGTTGCCAAGCTTCAGCACAAGAGCATTGGATATTCTGGACCTTTAAGCCGTCAACTTCTTTGCTACCGCTCTTTGATTTCTGCGGTGCGCTCTGCACTGAGGAATCTGATCGAGGTGGTACTGGCTGGTCTGCTGCTCAGTGGTGACGCTGATCGGGACCGCAACGACTGGACTGACATGGCTATCAAGTATGTTCCTTTAGCCTAGCTCTGCTGTATCCTGTTCTAACCTATTCTCCCAGGCTTCCGTTTATTGATGATAATGACTGTGGACTTGGAATTGCGGTTCGAACTTACCTCGACGACCTACCTCTACAGGCGAATCCGACATCTCCCGAGGCTCGAGCGGATGTCAAGGCAAAGGGCAAGGAATGGTTCCAACACAGCGAGAGCTTTATTGGAAACTTGGATTTGGCATTCAAGCTGTGGGATGCGGTTAGTATTGCCTGATGTTGAATGTTGACCAGACGCTAATTTTCAAGATAGGTTTACGTAGGCACACAGAGTACGGGCAAGGAGTTCAAAGAAGCAGAGCTCTGGGAAGACGCAAACAAATGGCTGGCAGAGAGACGATGATATGGACAAACCTCGCCAACGACACCCATCAACCACCGCGGGGATTCTTGGTTAACAAGCGCAGCTTGCAATTGCAGTTTATGCCAACAGCTCCGATCTTGCCCAAGGAAATACGATACCAGCAATTCTCCAGTGTATTACTAACTATCTAGGTAGCAACAGAGACCAAACAAATCAAGAAAACGAAGAAGAAACTCTTGGATTACTCAAGAGCAGAATAATCACAAATATAGCATAGGGGAAGTAGCTCTATTTTATATTATGGACGTCGTAGATGTCAACCTTGGCAGTAGATGGACGTGATCTGCGGTGTGGAGTCACCAAGTGGCCTCTTCGGCTTTGTTTGTCATCGTCTCCCCCGAGCTTAAACTCCGCCATCCACATTTCTTTGTGAACTCATACTTTCTCCGAAAGTATACTCACATCAAAATCCATATACACAATGGCACGCTTAAGCTTCCTGCTCCTCGGAGCCCTCTCAGCCCTCAGCGGCGTCGCCACTGCAAGCAACTCCGCAGTGAAAGACCTAATCCCCACCAACTTCGACGAAGTTGTCCTGGCTGGCAAGCCCGCACTGGTCGAATTCTTCGCTCCCTGGTGCGGTCACTGCAAAACCCTTGCCCCGATTTACGAGGAGCTCGCGCAGACCTTCGCCTTCGCCGAAGACAAGGTCACCATCGCCAAGGTCGATGCTGACGAGAACCGTTCGCTGGGCAAGCGCTTTGGTATCCAGGGCTTCCCTACTGTCAAGTGGTTCGATGGAAAGAGTGACAAGCCCGAGGAATACAAGGGTGGTCGTGATCTCGAGAGCCTGTCTGCCTTCATCACCGAGAAGACTGGCATCAAGCCTCGTAGCGCACAGAAGGAGGCTAGCAAGGTCGAGATGCTGAACGATGCTTCTTTCAAGACCGCTGTTGGTGGCGATAAGGATGTGCTGGTCGCTTTCACCGCGCCGTGGTGTGGACGTGAGTTGACTCCCTAATTGTACCTCTAGTCTTGTGGTTTGTTTTGCTAATACGTCTTTTGTTCAGACTGCAAGACCCTCGCTCCTGTCTGGGAAACCCTCGCCAACGACTTCGCCCTCGAGTCCGACGTTGTTATCGCCAAGGTCGACGCCGAAGCCGAGAATTCCCGTGCTTTGAGCAAGGAACAGGGTATTACCGGATTCCCTACCATCAAGTTCTTCCCCAAGGGCTCCACCGAACCCGAGGCCTACTCCGGCGCACGCTCCGAGGAGGCCTTTGTCAAGTTCATCAACGAGAAGGCTGGTACTCACCGTACCGTCGGTGGCGGTCTTGACAGCCTGGCAGGCACCATCGCCGTTCTGGACAAGATTGTTAGCGAGAGCGTCGCGGCGCAGAAGTTCGACAATCTGGTGGCTGATGTTAAGAAGGCCGCCGAGGGTCTGTCCGACAAGTACGCCGAGTACTATGTCAAGGCCGCGGAGAAGCTGAGCAAGAACGAGGAATATGCTGTCAAGGAGCTGGCCCGCCTCCAGAAGGTCCTGGCTAAGGGTGGCTCGGCCCCCGAGAAGCTGGATGACATTCTCTCCCGCAGCAACATTCTCCGTAGCTTTGTTGGCGCGGAGAAGCACGATGAGCTTTAAGTGCTTGTCATTGCTTCTAGATGATTGTTTTTTTTCCTCTTGGATTTTTGGCTTAAGGCTATAGTCACGGTGATTCTAGATTGAGGACCGGGCATGCTATGAACCATGGGTTCAATGGAAATGGATTGAATTGTATACGAGAATATTTGCTTGATGCTGTATATTGTATGAATTGAGTACCAACTTCGGGTTTACCCTTTCAAAAATGTCCATGTTATATATGAACTAGATCCACGCAAGTAAATGACGAAACATGGTTTGGCTCTTCTGTACGAGTATCCTCGTTTGATTGTAGGGTATCTATGAAATCGTAAAAGCATAAGTATCAGAACCAGACACAGGCCGGTGTGCTCATGCTACACGGCGGTTCCATGCAAAGCCTTAGAAAACACCATGTATGCCATAATTAAGTATGTGTTGCGCAATTGGTACAGGGGTTCAGCAGAGCTGGACAGCCAAAAAGTGTAGCGCTTATTGCACTCTCGCCAAAAACGCTGTGCGCGGAGTATGGGTAAAAGGCGTTCATATTTATTTTGTCGGACTCGGCGCGCCAGTCCCCGAAGATGCAGCAGCCAGAGACGCCTCTAGCTCGTCGAGGCGCTTGGTCATGTCATCCACTGCGCATGTACATAGGTTAGTACACAGTCGCAGGTATGAATGTATTGGCGGTGGTGGAAGACGATTGAGGCAGGAACTCACGTTTCCCGAACATCTCCGTAGAGACATTGTCGAATTTGCTTTGTAGCTCATTGAGCAGATCGTCCACAGCTGCGGTGAGCTGGCCTTGAGCATCGGAGTTCTGATGGCATTTAGTAAGAGCGACAGGTGGAGTTTGGAGCTTGAAGATGGTATGTACCGGTTGGGATAGAAGAGACTTACCCTCTGGTAGGGAGCTCTCTAGCTTGTCTGGAGAAGGGGACTTGGATTCGTCGGCCATTGTGAGACTATGGCATTCGCTGTACAGACTGTGAGGCATGTAGAGAGGGAGGGGAGGGCGGTGGGCTCGATAAGGGATCGGGTCATATGTATTTCCGAAATATTTCCACTTACGGACTAGCTTGGTCTTATCGGTAACGCTAGCTTGATCAGGACTGGCGCGATTTCAAAAAAATCCCGTGGATTCTCTGATGCGGGTTTGATACCAAGTCGCTTTCTTTTTTTCAATTCCTTTCACATCACACAAAATACAATTTTCTCTTTGTATTTTTAACACAAAGCAAGAATGGTCAAGCGCAGCAAGTTACTCCAGGCTCTCGATGCCCACAAGGGCCGTGATTTCGAGGCCGAGAAGCAGAAGAAATTGATCAAGGCCGCCGAAAAAAAGAAGGCCAAGAAGGCTACTGCCGCCCCCGAGGACAAGATCTTGGAGGAAGAGAAGGAGGAAGAGAAGGAGGAAGAGAAGGCCGCCAGCTCTGGCGCCGAGGAAGAAGAGGAAGAGGAAGAGGAAGAGGTCGACCAGGACGAGGAGATGGAAGATGACGAGGAAGAGGAAGAAGACATCCCACTCTCCGACCTCGAGGAAGATGAGCGTGAAGATGTCGTTCCCCACCAACGTTTGACGATCAACAACTCTGCCGCTATCCTCTCCGCCCTCAAGCGCATCTCGTTCATCGGTCCCAACACCCCATTCTCAGAGCACAACTCTTTAGTCTCGAAAGAGCCGATCGAGGTTGAAGACGCAAATGACGACCTGAACCGTGAATTGGCGTTCTACAAGGTCTGCCAGATTGCTGCTACCCAAGCACGTGCCCTGCTGAAGAAGGATGGCATTCCCTTCACGCGGCCGGGCGATTACTTCGCAGAGATGGTGAAGAATGACGAGCACATGGGCTTGATCAAGAAGAGGCTTTACGAGGAGGCTGCTGGCAAGAAGGCTTCTGCTGAGGCGCGCCGCCAGCGTGATCTTAAGAAGTTCGGCAAGCAGGTCCAGAACTCCAAGTTGCAGCAGAGACACAAGGAGAAGCGCGAAATGTTGGAGAAGATCAACACCTTGAAGAAGAGTATGTTCTCACTTTGTTTCATTCATGGTATTTTTCTATGAGTTTCGCAGTCGCTAACCTGATTTTTCACACAGAGCGCAAGGCTGATGGCTCCGCCCCTACCGACGACGCCAATGATATGTTCGACGTTGCCATTGAAGAAGCTACCCAGCCCGACAAGAAGCGTAGCCGTGGTGATGGCCCCGGTGGCTCGAAGCGCCAGAAGAAGGACGCCAAGTTCGGATTCGGAGGCAAGAAGCGCCATGCTAAGAGCGGTGATGCCGCGTCCAGTGGTGATCTGAGCAACTTCTCCGCTAAGAAGATGAAGGTTGGCGCAAAGCGACCCGGCAAGAGCAAGAGAGTCCAAGCCAAGGGACGCAACTAATCGTTTTGACGTGATGGGTTATGTTGTGACATTGCATTTGTATCGTGCATCATGTAATTATTTTTTCTCGCTTGGGTCTGGATAACCAAAAAATGGCAGTTTTGATTTATTTTCTCTATGATATTACAGATAGGAAGTCTATATACAAATGCTATATCATTTTAGACTATAGCCTATTGGGCTGCTTCAGCTTTAGCCTTAGTGGCTCTCTTCTCCTCCCACTCTGTCAAGAACTTCTCCACCTTCGGTCCCCAGACCTCTTCGCCGGCATCAAGGTCCTTGTACTCTAGAACCTTATCAGGGGAGAGTTCGTAGTCACCTTGACGGCTGCGCACAAGCTCGCTCATCAGAGCACAGCTACCAACAGCTTTGCCTAGATCATGTGCCAGCGAGCGAACGTAGAAGCCCGACGTGACAGTCATCTTAATCTTCACCGCCGGAGGCTGGGGCTTGGGCTCCTCTGCAGGCACAACAGGGGCCTCTGTAGTTGCAGGTTCGGGGGCAGTAGGCTCAGGTGCAATAGGTGCCGCTTCGCTCTCGGACACCTTCTGCTTCTTAGCAGCCTCCGCACCATCATCCTTCACTTCATCCGCCGGGGGTGGCGACTTGCGCTTGGTAGAAGAAGCTTCGGGCGCTTGGCTTGTAGCGTCACCTTCGGCCGGCGGCGCAGGCACCGATGCTTCCTGATCAAGAAGCTTCTCAGCGACAGCCTTCTCATCACCAGTCATCTCCACCTCGGGCCATTTGTACTCGTGTGTGCCGGGCTCGTACCACTCCACAATCTCCATATTCAAGACCTCAACGGGCCGGTGCTTAATCTCAATCGGCGGCATCTTGCCCTCGCGCGCATACTCGTACAGCTTCTTTCCATTCACTCGCAAAGCGGAGAAAATGGGCGGTTTCTGCATGATTTCCCCACGGAACTGTTCCAGTGCTTTCTCGACTGCTTCGCGTGTGATATGTTCGTAGGGCGCGCGGCGCACGATTTTTCCGAGGCGATCGTAGGTATCCGTCTCCGCGCCAAAGGTCACAATGGTTTCATAGCTCTTGGTGCAGGCCAGGAAATCCTGGAGGGACTTTGTGCCCTTACCGATTCCGGTGATGAGCACGCCTGTCGCGAGCGGGTCTAAGGTGCCGCCGTGGCCGATCTTGACGTCGAGGCGCTGGTGGCGACGGCGTTTGCGCTGGAATTGGCTCTCACGGTCGCGGCGGGCGCGTTCTTCTTCTAACCATGGTTTGAATGTCTTGGAGGGGTTGAAGTGTTTCTGCAAAGTACGGATCACGTCGGCGGAGGTGACGCCTTGCGGCTTGTGGACGGCTAGCGGAGATGTTAGATCGAAGTCTTGCTTTAGTGGGATTCAAGCTCACCGAATACGCCTTCAAGGATCTTCTCGCCAGACATTGTTTTGCGAAAAAGCCGAAAACCTGGAGGAAATGGCATCTGGAAAGGTGGGAGTCAATCCAAAATGGGGGAAAAAGTTATTTTGGTAGAGATTTGGCTGCCGCCTTTACGGCAGTTCTTTGGGACTGACAAGGCGATTGCCCTACGATTCTGATATAATTGATATACAGGTTTCTAGATCATTGTTGGAGATATCTACAGATATTACAGCACTTATAGATGAAAAGCCTCGGCATTATTTTAATGTTTCTTAAAAGTGCAATTTGAAGGCATTGTGCCTCTTTTTTGATCTTTGATGTCCTAGTAGATTCCATTTTTCATAGTCTATTTTCTCTTATGGTAGAAAATAACAGGCATAAAGGGAAAGCCAAGATGATATCTACATTCCCATTGAGTAGTTCAAAATGTCCTGTTACCGCACCCCTTGACATACTATTCTACACTACTCCGTACTGACTACCTTTGGAATACATTGGTACTTTGTCTTAATAGTCATGGATTTTTCTGATTTTATATAGCGAATAAATACAAAGGCCTTGACCTAGTAGCTGTACCAGCCAACGTCTTCCTCGTCTATCGGAGTGCAACTGCCAAGTTTCTATCAAGGTTCGCCTACCCCTAACACCAGACATGGCTCTCTGCTTAACAGCTCTTAGAGATGCAATCATGACAGTGTAAAGTCTACGATCTTCGTTGATGCAAAAGCAAAATACTCTTTTGACAGACTGACAATGTGGTGCTTAGCCTAGAGGATAATACACTGCTCATGGAGTTACGGATGCCCTCGAAAGAAGATAAATGAGTGGCTTCAGTCTTCCAATTTTTTTTTGTGGTTCCAGGAAAGCGTTAATTGAGACGGGGTTCAAAAAATGCTTTCCCCACACCCCGCGTCTAGCATCGAAACTTAATACACATCTCGTTATTCCTTGATCATCAAATATTCTTCCACTTATAACCCCCATCCTGCGTAATCGGTCACAAACCTAGACCCATGGTGGATCCGGCTCCTACCATACCTTAGCAAACTTCACAGCGGCTCCAGTATTGTATTGACCGAGAGCATCTCTCTAGGAATGGCGTGCCTAGATATGTACATGCATATGTATGCCTTTTCAAAGCTGAGATCCGATCGGAGTCTAATTTTGATCAGAGCCGTGGATCCGTGGACCGCTGTAACCTTAATTCTAAGTTATGTAATTATGCCATGTGCACGTGATGGATTCATTTATAAATGCCCGATAAACCAGGCAGAACACCCATGTAATTAATTATGAGTAACTTATTGTATCCGTAATTTACTGGCGGTCGACGACTTTGACTGTTGACAACTACAAGGTTCCATTCCAAGTCGCCTTCTTCTTATTCTCTTATTCTCAGTTAATTGACCTTACGTATATATCAACACTTTTCCATACCTTATTGTCGATACCCACCATGCCCATTCCACCATGACGTCCCGCGAAGAAACCGTCCTAGCTCCCACCAATCCCTCTGTTACTGACGAGAACGATTGGTGGGAGTTCAGCCTGACCGATGTGAAGGTCCTAAAGCCTGGAAAGATGCTATATGCAAATCTACTGGATGCCACCGAACAAAATCCAGTGCAGGTGATCGGCTGCTTAGAGCCGCTTCATGAGGACCAGGAACACTTAGGTGTGTATCGTTGTATCAATGCGCGTTTATCAAGCAGCTTGCTGACCAGCCACTCGCCCACCAGTGCTCAACCCGGATAACCCTCCTAAGCGCATTATTATTGACGAAGTAACACACTATGCCTACGGCCAAACTGAAGACAAGAGCATTGAGCTTTGGGTTGCTGGTAAGGCAGGCTGGTACGACATCATTTCGCCCGCCAAGGGTTTCACACCCACATACAATCGCATGGTCCAGGCTATTGACTTGCTGTATTTCTTGGTTGATAAGCACCAGCAAGGAAAGAGACAGATCAATCCATCTTTTAGGAGTCTCTGCGAACAAGTGAGTCTTTCGATTCTAAGCTATGCGCTATACAAACCGAAGCCTAATATTTATCCCTCCTTAGTATACTTACCATACATATGGCTCATGTGAGACCCGAGAACAGTCAGCTGAGGTCTTTGGGACACATGCTTCCTTCTTGCTTCGTTGCATGATCCAAGGTGATTCAGATGTGGAATGGAAGAAGACAAGTGTCTTCGTCCATCTGCGTCGCCGATTTAATGTAAGGAAAGAAGTCTCCTTACAATAGCCTCTGTGCATACTGATAATAAGCTTAGGATGAGTATAATAGGCTGTTAGAAGAGCTTGAGCCCTCCGAGGAAAGCGAAACGGAGCCCGCAGATGAACCAGAAGTGACAACTCCACGGCATCAGCCTGCAGCAATCTCAAAATCACAAGCCGATGCCATCTACCAGCTGCTCAAGGACCTTAGAGAAGAAGGTCACTTGGCAAAGCGTCGCCTGCATATTGACCTCCTGGGAGAACGCTTTGCAGAACGATTCTCTCTCAGCAACGAAGACGCCCAGAAAATCATTGCCTTCAGGGCAAGCGCCGTGCTCGAAATGATGGATGAAGAGGACTTTAGATGGTCTCGCTATGTTATCCATAGGGAACTCACACATGCATCCACGACATCCGCCCCTCTGCCAACTGCACTCCTAACCCCTCTGGATTCGCAGGAAGAATCCAGCGACGATGAACAAGGCGGCCGGACCCAGAAGTCTGTGCTGCGTCCAAGAGTCCACACAGTCTCCAATAAAGCGACCGGCAAGCGAAATCGCAATGCCCCCGCAAACCAGCAAACAGTCGAGTCCAACGAGGAAGACGAAGAGGATACCGATGAAATCGACATCGACGAAATTGAAACACCGAGCAAAACGCGTGGCTATGAATTAATCAGAGATCCATTCTCAGCCACAAAGCCTCGGACTCGCTCGTTCTTTGCAGCCTCCTCGACCGGCGCCGGCTCCTCTCTTATGAAGAGCCTGTTCAAGGACAATATCAAAAAAGATAAACTCCAGACTCCCCCCGTATCTTCGTCACCATCACGCCAAACTCTGACTCCAGAGCGGAATCCCACTCCAGATACGCCACATGAAATTGAAGAATTCATCGACGAGATATCTGATACCTGGACATGCCGCATGCCCGGATGCGAGAAGGTGGTTTCGACCACCGACAAAAACGAGCGGAAGAAGATTATTGGGGACCATGCCGGAGAGCACGAGTGGGAGATGCAGATGAAGGTTGAGCTGATGGAGTCGGAGAAACGCATGCATACTTCCTTCCCCGTCAACAACCTCATGCAATACGTCGTTGATGCGCATGTGCTGCAAATGCGCACTGCATTCCCGGAGTTCTATTCTATAAATAAAGAGAATGGCACGACTGAAAACGGTCAACATCCCCTGGATGAAGAGACATCCATTCCAGAGACCGAGGGATTAGAAGAGCAGAATGACGAAGATGAAGAGGATGATGAAGATCAGGAGCTCGAGGACCTTGCGAACGGTTACACCTGATCGCTTCATGAAATTAACGATCGTTATGAGCCATGACGTTTATCAGAAATCCAAAAAAAAGTTGAACAATCAAAATCTCATATCGCTGGATTTTGAAAGGAACAGTGGATGAGAAAAACACAGCGCCACAATTATATACCCTCCTCTCTAGTATGTTATTGAATTACTTCTTATTCGCGGCTGTCAAGATACACCGTCTAACGATTTTATTTCCCTACAGATATCCCGTGGCTATATTCTTAGCTTAGCAATGGAGATATATAAGCGTTGGGTGTTAGAAGGGTGTTGCGGCATGAATTTGCTAGATGTGCACAGCCCTAGCGGTTCGATGTTTCGCTGACGATTCTTTCGGATTGCTTCCACTTGATACCCCCCCAAAAGTAGGTAGAACCACATAGCTGGTAATAGCACGAGAGATATTCTCCCTAAGTCTACTTGTCTTCTCCCAAACCAACCACACCACCGTATCACTACCAGCCAGCACAAGCTTTGAACATTAGTTGAATAGCGCGCGCAGAACCGAAGAGAATCAAATAAACCTTTTAGATACATTCCAAAATTAGCATGCACGAAAATAGCAATCAAAAACAGATTAGAATATAAAGCTTCTAGAAGTAAACCAAGAGAAGAAGAGAACACAGTGCATTGAATAGAACACCAACACTCTATGCGAAGGCATGGAGTGTGTATGCAAGAGCAAAGTCAATTAAGAAAGGCAAGCAAAAGGAGCGGCAAAGAAATACTGTCTGTCTGTCTGTCTGTACATGGCAAAGAACAGTAGATTGGCATTGCGAGAAGTGGGAAAGGAAAAAGGAAGCTCTTTTGACTCGGGGTATACCAAGAACACGCCACATATATCACAACACATACACACCAGATTGAGAGAGATAAGACAGAGAAAAGCTATAGAGGTACAGAGGGGGTTGTAGAAGAGATAAGAAATAGATGTCGAAGGAGGTTTAGCAGATGCGTGTAGTTGGTAAAGCCAAAGGAAGGGTGGGCGACGCCCAGAAGAGAATGGAAATGGGAGACAGGAGTATCGGTATAAGGAGTCCTGTCATTTGAGAAATGTGAGGATCATTGCTGGTGGGCGCTATGGGCCTCGATGAGAGCTGTAGATGATTAGCTATTTATTCTCCAACTTCGAAGAAAATGCAAGGGATACTTACTCTGAAGAGCAGAAGCCTGTCCCTGTCTGGATTCACAAGCACACTGAAGCGTATTTCCATCTAAGAAATCAAGCAAGATGCTGTTTGGTAGTTCCTGCATATCTTCATCAGGAAGGCAAGGAGTGCGGAACTCGGTGAGATGGTAGCGTTTAGTCATGTTCCGGGTGGTGGCATCATTGGTGCCAGGTGTCAGAACAACGTATCCCTCTTCATCGATGCGCATGACCCGACGCTTCCATAGAAGAGTTTCTGGGAACTGGACGTTCACCTCGCCAATTTCAATAGCATCTGAGGTACGCGAGCTAGTAGACTCTGAAGCCTTACTCGACCCATTTGTGAGGGTGGGAACATACTCCTCTTCCTTGACTGGCGAGCTGAGCGCTCCGATAATGCTCCGGCGAGAGTTGGATGTGATCGACGACATGCGGCGTATGAGTCGCGAAGTGCGAGATGGTTTCTTATCTTCGGGCGTCGAAGAGACTGATTGGACGCTGTCGTCAGTCCTAGAGCGCGAGGGGGGAGAGGGGCGGCTTCCGGGACGGCTTTCAGGGCGAGATGTCGCTTGGCGATTAGATGTAGTAGATGAGATTGACAAGCTTCGGTCCTGGGGACGGCTGGCAGGCTCGATAGGCGAGATCTCAGGGAGTGGTGCCTCAGCTATCTCAGGCTCCACAGTCACAGGACTAGCCTGGGGGTTGACAACATCGGTCTCCGAGGGCTCAGGTCCAGCAGGCACGGGAGAGATATCTGCATCACGCACGATACGGGCCGTCACGGAAATAGAGCTAGCAGGTCGCGCAGTATCCACAGACACCTGACGGTTGTGCCGACTTAAGCTCGGCGCACGGGAAAAGCTCTCAGGGACATGAGCAGAATGCATTGTGCTTGGTGGAGTGAATTCGTGGTTCCCACCGGGCAATGAGATAGATGCGCGTTTCCGAAGGTTCTCGAAAGACGACGAGGCCGACGGCGCACTTACAGCCGGACTGGCACCCAAGGGAGTGCCTTCGCGGCTCGAAAACTTCTCAAGAGCTTTGATACGACTGGAAATTCCAGAGGAGACGTTGATCTTCTTGGCCATGAGAACCGGCGTAGTAGGGCGACTTTCAGAGTGGGAGCTAGAAACGGACCGGCCCACTGCTAGAGCCTGCATACCCGACGATGCCCCCATAGAGAACGGGCTAGAGACGGCGCGTAAATTTTTCCAGGCGTGATCGACGCCGTTGGGAGATTTCACAGATACCGGTCTAGCTTGCTGGACAGTAGCGGATGTCAATTCCTCCATAAACGAATCGTCGGAAAGGAGGTTGTCGTCGTCCGAGAAATCTAGAGTAGGCACTTGAATAGGCTCCAGGCGGACCCTACGCCTCTGATCCAGGGTAAGAGGCTCGGCTATCTCGGCAACTAGGCGATCAGGGGTCGGTTCGTCCACCTCGATTGAGACAAAAACGGGGGCGACTGGTGTTTCCGTGCCAACGCTCTCTAGAGGGGTAATAGAGGGGACGGAGGGGAGGGGAACCGCCTGAGGGACCTCTGCTAAGATAGGCACGTCAGAAGGCTCGTCAGTTGGTACATATGCAGCTGGAGAAATTTCGAAATGTGTTTCGGAGACGTCCCCTGAATCTCGTGGGGCATCCGAAGGAAGTGGGACGTCGGGATTAAAGGTAGGTGGGGCGAGACCAGAGATTGCGGAGTCCTCGTGCTCGGTGCGTGTTTCATCCTCAGGGGTTGTCTGTATTGTTTCCTCCTTAACTGTCTCTGAAGGTGTGGCAGCACGATCGGCTGAGATAAATCTGTCGGTACTTGAGGCCGTAGGTAAGGATGGCCCATCCTCAGCGCTTGCAGGGGAAATATCACCGATCGGGTTTAATTCAGCCTCAAGAGGCCCAGAAAGCTGCTCTGGCTCAGGCGTCACAGCAGACTCAACAATTGGGTCGGCGACTAATTCACGGACAGCTTCGAAATTTGATCCAACCGAATTAGGAGCGAGGTCGGGACTGAATTCAGCAATTTCCTCGACGACAGGATCAGGAGCGGATCCAATAACGCTCTCAGGAACAGGTTCGGTGGCAAGTTCAAGAGTGGAATCATGAACGGGCTCGAACGCGGGTTTAAGAATAGACTCGGAGGCAGGCTCAGGGGCGGAGTCAGGAGGCACGGGTGAATTGGCTGAAGGTAACTCCTGTTGATCCTGTTGGATTGTCTCGGGCTCAGACAGCATCATTTCAGAATCGGGATAGTGAATCTGAATAAGATTCTCTTTATCGGCATCCAGATCCTTGGCGATATGCTTCACTGGTTTGAGCCCTTCCTCAGAGGCCTGCTTCTTTTTCGTTTCCTCCGCACGCTTGGCCATATTCTTCCTTCTTTGCTGCAAAGCCTTCATCAAACGTTCTTTCTCAGGGGTCAATCCCGAGGAGGTCGACAGAGCTCCGAGGGATTTGGCGCCAGGGGAAAGCTGAGGTCTCGAAATAGGGATAGAGGGGGGTGGAACCAGCAAAGGGGGGACTGGTGGAACACGACTAGTGGGTTTGATTGCGAAAGTGCTCCCCTGAGATCGAGGGCGCGGCGCGTCATTGTTTTGCTTTCGCACGGAAGATGAGCGCATATTTGTCGGGAGGGATGCAACAGGACGTTGGTCTAAATTTCGAGAACTGCCTGCTGTGCGGGGTCTACCACTGCTATCCACGGACGGTCGGGGTCCCAGCTTAACCTTTGGCGTATATCCCGCGGCTCGTTCCAAATCTCGGAGTGAGGGACGGCTGGATTGGCTGGACAACCGGGCCTCTTCCGAAGGACGGGGGAATTCATCCAAGATAGTTCGGTACCTGGAACTGGAGCGGGAGCGATCTGATTTTATGGACCTAGGGGACATTGTCGCTGATTGTGGTTCGACGGGACTCCCTCGAGAGAGTGTGGCTCGGGAGCTCGATCGGGATGGGGGTGGTATGAGATCGACTGGTGCTTTTTCACTTTCTGGTGATATCGGGGGTAGTTCCGGTTCCACGGGATGTTCAATTGGCGACGGCACCAAGGTAGCTTCCGACTTGACACTCCTTGGTCTGCGTCGGGCCTCCGACTGGAGATGTGTGATTGGGTTCGGAGCTTCATCCTTTGTGCCGTTCTCCTCGGCATCCTCCGTGATTTCCATCAGTCGGCGGCGACGAAGCGAGCTTGAGGAAGAGGTAATTGAGGTCGACGCGGTATGGAGGAGACAAGCGGAGGACAGGGCGCTTTCGGTGAGATCGGAGGCTTTGGACAGAGGAAGTATGGTGTCGTTGGGGGTGAACTTGTCGATCACGAATTGGAACTGGACATTGCTTCGAGCTAGGACAGATTAGATCAATTCCTATGGAAAGGCAGCGAAGGGCATACCTAGTATAAGCCGAGATAATCCCTCCGGCATGTATCGGATAATCACTTTTCTGCGCCGGTATTGGAGGAAGCCATAGAGCGGCGAGCATTCCTCGTAGCCGTCAATGGCATTCCGGATTTCGGGCACCCCGCCGACGCCTCGTTCGTGGAGGGCAACCTCATCTCTTGCAACATAGTGTAATAGAAACCTGAAACATAGGGGTGTCAGTGAAGTGAAGTTAATGGATCTGTCGCACAGTGCGTTGAAACACCGAAAGGGGGTACTCACCACCCGCCCGCGTCAGCCAGGGCACTTTGGTAGGCTTCGACGACGGGGGCACTATCGAGCCCATTCAAAGACATAGCGTGAGCCGCATGGAGAAGGGCCAGAGGAGGCGCAAAAAGGTAAAGCGAAGAGGAGAGAATAGGAGGGAAAAGTGGCCCCAGAAAGCGGGTAAAGACACTAAGAGTTGATTTGGGATCGGATCTTTAGATCGCGATGTGCCCAATCAAGGCCGGAGGTGCAGATTCGGCTGTTTCATAAAAACAAAGTTGGTTTAGGCGAACTGGTCTCAGGGGGAACATGTTCTCAATTGGGCTCCACCTTTGATTGGCGTAATTTAATAATGTATCAGGTTTCAATAGAGTGCAGTTGTTGATTAGGTAGATGTATACGGTGGATTTGTTGGAATGATTGGGTGTTCAAGGAATGCGAGGTGTCCAATGTTAAACTCAACATATGAAACACACTAAGATATAAATAGTCAAACGGTTAAACAAACAGTTCCAGTCTCCATAGCTCACATGTACACATCTATAGGATACATACATCGACTATTCCCGCTGTTCTCCGCCTCGGCGTCCTCCGAAAGCGGGTACGATCTCTTTTATACTTAATCGCAATACATTCCCTTCTTCATATTCATACATATCCTCATAGAAACCACCATGGCCGAACTCCCCCCGCTGTCGACGATCCCCTCCCTACCCCAAGAGGCCCAGCTTCGGGTGCTCGATACCCTCTTCGAACCCTCTCCAGAGCTCCACCGACTGATGATTCCCGTGCTGGCCAACCAGACCTTCTCTTCATACACCACCCTCATCGATGCGGTAGGAGGTCGCATGTCGGCACTCTCAGCCGCAAATTCACCTACCGACCGAGACGTACTGTTTGGCATTTTGGGGTCGCATCCACGTCTTGGCCGAGCCCCAGCCAATCCGGAACATCTGAGCGAGCTGAGCAAAAAGGAACAGGCCCAATTGAATGAAGGCGCCGAGGAACAAGCGGAGCAATTACGAGCACTCAATGCGGAATACGAGGAGAAATTCCCAGGGTTGCGGTTTGTGTAGGTCCATGTTTCTTGCGCAGTGATCTATACATGTTGACTTGAGATGTATAGCACGTTCGTCAATGGGCGCAATCGCGACGTGATTATGGTCGAGATGCGCGAGCGCATTGACCGGGCTAATGCGGAGAAAGAGATTGAAGAGACCATTCAGGTAATGTCCTCTTATCGAGTTACTTACTCTGGATGTATGTACTGACTTTGAAGGGTATGTGTGATATTGCAAAGGACCGTGTGAGAAAGCTTCAATCGCGCATTTAATATAATTACTATTCTCTATTCTCTATTCCATACTCTTAACTGTCATCTTCTCCATTTAACGTTCTCAGTAAGCAATTAAGCAAACCCTGGAGGGTCCAAGTCTCCACCCCATCTCCCCGAATTTGATGTCATCCAGCGCTATCCGGTCGTTGCCGCTTTACTTCCTTTTCTTTCTTTCTTTTGTTAATCGCAAGTCTCTGTGAACATACATCTGCATTTGTATATTACCTGATACCCCTCATGCGACTGAACACATGGCGGAGGGAAGCAACAATCTACAACTCCGAGTCGCGACGACCCCCGCGATAGCCGATTTGAGCCCCGGAAACTCGACATTTCCCGGTAAGTGTGATTTTGCAAGTTGAATATTGAGACTTGAATCTCGAGAGTTGAATCTTGAATCTCCAGACTTGGCCAAACTCTAAATTCGGTCCTGTCTGGAGAACTCCAATGCGCGAAAAAGAACAGAAAAATCTTACGGAAAGACGCTGACAGAACTGCCAGCCTCGGCCACATCGGATGTCCCCTCGGGCTCGACTCATAGTCTGCACGATGTTCGAAATACCAAACGCGCAGTCATTGGTGGCTCTCATTCGACCTTGAATTCCCCGGACGAGAGGACCGAGTCAAGTGCTATAGATCCGCTATCGCAGGTAAGCTCTCACAGGAGACTTGCCACACCAAATTGGCCAATACTTCCGGACCGATCATGTGCTTGTTTGCTTTGTGCAACCCGCATCGGAGATGCGGATACGAAGATGCAGCCAAGCTGACAGGAGGGCCGTGCTCTCGTTATAGCACATTATCCAACGCACCAATACCCAAAAGTCCATTCCCCTGAAGTTACTGGGAAAAGCGTCATACGAAGCAGAGGCTGTGGGCTCCGAGTACGGCCAGGGAGACCGAAGCCCGATACGAGGAGATGCATTGCCTACCTCGAAACATCCTAGAGAGAAGAAGTGAGTTTTTAGACTTTGCCATGCCTTGGAAACACAAGTTACGCCCGACGGCCTGTGTCGCCGACACTTGTGTGCCGGGAGTCTCTTTTCGCCTCCCCCCAGGATTCTCGCCGCAACAATATACGTGATATTACCAGCGACTGACCCGTGGTTTGCTCTTCTCAACTACAGAAAAGGTGTTTCCTTCCTCAGCCGAATCATCGGAGGCAAGAAAAAAGATCAGTTGTTGGAGGTAGAAGATGAGACCTCGGAATCTGAAACGCCCCGCATGTCCATGGACACCTCACATCATCCAATTGGATTCATACCTCGACACCCTGCTCCGTCGAAATATCTGAAGGTGCGAGCCCAGTACAAAAAAGAGAAGACGTTCGACCGCGTGTTTCTAGCACAGGAACTGGAGGGCAGCGGCCCATCGCCCAAACCCGCAGATAGACGGATATCTACGTCCTCGGCCTTGCTACAGAATGGCGACAACATCGGAAGGGCCGTCTGGGCACTCGTATTCTCTAAAGATGGTAAATATCTGGCGGCTGCTGGCCAGGACCGGAAGGTCCGAGTATGGACTGTTATCGCTACACCGGAGGAGCGCGAGGATGCCAATGAGCACGAAAAGGCAACACCCGTAGATGCACAAGACGATTCCGGCCTGAAGGCACCTGTGTTCCAGCCGGAGCCCGCCCAGGTGTATGAGGGACACACGGGAAGTATCCTAGACCTGAGCTGGAGTAAAGTATGCATGCTCAAAACATTCAACACGATGGGAAGCGTCCATGCTGACGTGTGCGCTAGAATAACTTCATTCTCTCCTCGTCAATGGACAAAACAGTGCGACTGTGGCATATCTCTCGACCGGAATGTCTTTGCTGTTTCCAGCACAGTGACTTTGTGACTTCGATCCAATTCCACCCGCGTGACGACCGCTTTTTCCTCGCTGGATCTCTCGATACGAAACTGCGACTCTGGAGTATACCCGATAAGAGCGTGGCTTTTGTGACTACTGTGCCTGATATGATTACTGCTGTGGCATTCACTCCAGACGGCCGATACTCCATTGCCGGATGTTTGAATGGCATGCTTAACATCTATGACACTGAGGGCCTAAAGGTATCAGCCCAGATTCATGTACGATCGGCCCGTGGACGCAACGCCAAAGGTAGTAAAATCACTGGAGTCGATACGATAATGGTTCCCAAGGACAACCCTAAGGATGATGACGATGGTGATATCAAGTTACTGGTTACTAGCAACGACTCCCGCATCAGGCTGTACGACTTCAATGATCGATCGTTGCAGGCTAAATTCCGCGGCAACGAGAACACCTGCAGCCAAATTAGAGCTTCATTCACCAATGATGGCAAGTATATCATATGTGGGAGTGAGGATCGCAGGGCATACGTGTGGCCAGTTGGGCCTGTGCAACAGGATTCCGAAAAGCAGGCTGTGGAGATATTTGAGACACAGTCTGCCATGGTAACAGCTGCAATAATGGCACCCAACCAAACGAAAGAGGTCCTGGCGCTATCAGAAGACCCAATCTACGACATCTGCAATCCGCCCCCGGTAGCCCTTATTGGTCCGGAGTCAACAGACTTTTCAAAGAAATCCCATAAACACTCTGAATCAGCACCTCGCCTATCCATCATCAGCAAAATGGCCCACGCCTCACCCTCGTACCTCGCACGATCCAAGCATCCAGACGGAGAGATAATCGTGGTTGCCGACTACTCCGGCAAGATCAAAGTTCTCCGGCAAGACTGCGCGTATCAAAAACGACGCTTCGAGAATTGGAACGCCAACTCCACCATCTCACGACGGATCCTAAGACGCTCCAATTCGGCACGCCGTAGCATCGCCTCCTCAATCGGAAAGGAATCCTCCCACAAAACTCCATCCGAGCGCATCGTCTCATGGCGCAACTCCGTCGTCCGCCACGGCCGCTCCAGCACAGATGGCTCCCGCACCGACTTCCGAACCCGTACCCCATCCCCCCAGAACCGCCCATCCCTTTCCAGACTAGCATCGCCCCGGCCTTCAAGCCTCAGCCGGAACGAATCATTGTCCATCTTCACTACATCTCCACCCCCATCACCAGGCCGACCACACCCCGACAGCAATCGCACAAGCGAAGATGTCAGCCATGCAAATGCCTCAAACTCCAAGCCGCAACCACCACCCCAACCCCACTTGAAATTCGCCCCGGCAGACCTAGCTGCGACTGATTCACAAGACAACCCACTCTGGATACAGGGTGACCGCAGCTACGCGTACTGGAACAAGATCACGCACGATGCACTGGCCATGCAGTCCCGGAAACCGAGTGACTTCCTCAGTCCGAATCGAATCCCGTCGCATGAGCGCAGGCTGAGTATTTCAGGAGGTAGTATCTTGAGTAGTAACTATTCCTCTTCGATGGGTGATGGAGAGGAAGACGTGCTCAAATGTGAAAACTGTCGTGGGACAAGTTTCCGCAGTGTTAAGGGGAGGGATGGGAAACAGAAGCTGATTTGTTCGGAGTGCCATCGGCCCATTTCTTGAGTCTTTTCTTTTTCTTCTTTTTCTTTGTTTTTCGATGTATGTGATGCATGTATGATCTACGATCTACGAATGTACGATCTATGATTTTCTGGGATGTATGGTAGGTTTTGGCGTTTTGTTTGGCATTCTATTGGAGGATTGGAGGATGGGTGTGTTGATCTTTTGTTTTACGTATTTGTGATGTCGATATGTGTTTAATGTGTATAGTTTTTAGGCCTTGATAGCAGGGTATGTACAGTACCAGATGCAATGGAAGATGAGACGTGTAAATGGCATATTGTATAGTTTTCCAAGCATGGGAGTTCCTCGCATTCTCTCACGCATTCCCAGCCTGCGAACCAAGCCCTATAAAGACATTGACCGTCGGTCCGGAATCGAATCAAGTTTGGGCTCCCTTAGGCTTTCGTGCACCAATCACAAGGAAAAGTGGATGGTGTCGCTCCCTTTTCCACTCAGGATGGTCTTTAATATACTCGCTAGTCGGCATCCACTTTTTGACTGCTGTCAAAATGAACCCAGTACCCAGAAGTAATGATATATGTGTGTCCACCGTGCGATGTTGTTTGAAGACTTCCATCCCAAGCCAGTCCCTCTTGCGAAGCCCTTCTTCAGCGTACTAGTCTGCAGCCCATGCCGCTGTTCGACCAGCACTTTCAGTCCAAGCCGGTGCAATAATAGGGGCTGTGAAGATGGGATGTTCAACCGAGAAGACGAAATGCCCGCCGGCTTTCAATCCATCGTAGACCTGTCCAAAGAGCTCCTTCAGATTCTGGAGATAGTGGAAAGCCAGGGAGCTGTATACCAAGTCATATAAGTTCTTTTCCAACTCGATCGTATCAAGGTCGCCGATACTGTATGTGACTGCGGGATGTACAGTCAAACTCTTTGCCCGCTCAAGCATGTTCCGAGAGATATCGATCCCGTGGACTTTTTAAGCTCCGTTTTCTTGTGCCCACCGAGAAAACCACTCAAAATCACATCCAAGGTCGAGCACTTGGTATCCTTGCACATTGCCCACGAGGTCCCTCAACAACGGCCACTCTAGTGCGCCGTTAAGGCCTTGCTGCGAGCGATGCAGCTTACTATAGCCTACAAAGAACACAGGCTCAACATAGGCATTTTGTGACATGAGTCGATTATCTATCGTGTAGAGTGAAAGGTATCAAGCTGATTTGCTCCGTGCCTTGTTGAGGGGATGTAATAATAGAGGAGAAAGGCATTCTCTAGCACAACAGGACGGATGTTTCGCATATTCCACTATGTAAGGCTTGGCAGAAATTGCATGATCTCTGGTTTGTCGCGGTTAGTCACCTCACTTGGACGCTTACATTCGAGGGTAAGCTACTTAGTACAGAATGGTTTATGAGATACAAGCTGCGATCTTCGGTAAATTGGCTGAGCCTAATGAAGTAGATGTGGTTGATGGCTCTCGTTAGGTCCAATAATCGTATTTAATTAGATCTCAAGTAATGCACATCGTATAGGATAATAAAAGAGAATTGGTTAACTAGTTGGTTAGAGTGGTTCCTATAAATTGCGGAGTGAACGTATTGATGCCAAGACATGGAAAAAGCCGCCAGCACAACGATAACACCTCCACGCTCTCTCCATCCACCAACTTTCATAACCAGTTTCTCTCTCGAGTCTTGAATCTCAGCGGACATTTCCTTTTGATCCGCGACATCTCATTCTGAGTAAACCCGCGACACCAAGAGAAACACCCACCAATCTGCGCATCCCACCACACCTCAACTCCAAAACCACGAGCTCTACGGACGCTCACCACTACTCCAAAATGCCCTACCTATCCACCTCCCAGGCCTACCTGGAACAGTCCGCGCAATTATTACAAGCGTACCCAGAGACAGTAAGCACCAGAACCCTCTATCCCAACCCACCATCCAATCTTCCACACCGCGTTCCCCCACAGCGGGCAACAATGAACACCAACCGCAAACCCCAATCCAAATCCAAATTTAACTAACAAGCAAACCTCCCAGACCCGGATAGTAACAAAATACAACTTCCCCACAAACCGACGAGGAAACGTAATCCGCGCCCACAAATCCCAAGTCCGAAAAAACGCCAAAGCCACCGATGCTTCCTCCACCACCACACCCGCACAAACCTCAATCGCAACCCTCACGCTGAAAACATTCAACCCAACCACCGGAATCTGCCTGCACTACCGCACAAACAAGGCGCAGGAAGTCGGCCGTCTGATTACAAGTCTGGGCAAGCTGGCTGCCGGTGCTGATGTAGCGGGCTTGGGGTTATCGGCTGCGGTGCCTGCTGCCGGCGCGGATGTGGATATGGTCGATGCTCCTGCTGAGGAGGTTGCGACGCCGCCGGTTGCCAGTAAGGCGCAGCCGCAGGCGCAGGGACAGAGTGCGAAGGGGAAGAAGAAGGGCGGGAAGGGGAAGCGGTAAATCAACTGGTTTCTTTTGAATGAGATTCATTGCTTTGTTTGTTATGCTTCTTTTCGCTTATTACTTTTTATGATGCATTCATAGATATGGGATTGAGGTCTTTCGGTATCGGGAATGACATACCAACTTCGAGTTAGGGCAAAATCCACAGGAGGTCTTGAGATACATAGAGTTTCAATAGAGTGTGAAGTAGGGATGGGATGGGACTAGCCAATTGATAACGTATATTTAGGAGGATTAATATGTTATGTTACATATACAAACAAACATATATCAAGACACATTGGAGTCATTCGAAGATCTAGATACAGAGAATCCACCATTCATCCATGGGCACCAGAGCCCAGGATAGACCAGGAAAAATAAAAACAAGAAACACCATTCCCATGCGAGCCTGCAAACAGGAATTACATCAATCAATAAGAGACAAAACGGCATAATATCACGTGAAAGGGGAGAGGGTATAAAACAACACAAGAGGGAAGGGAGAAGGACTTAATCTAGAAGTCCTCATCGAAGTTGAGACCACCGTCGTTTGAGACCTTCTCGCCCTCAGCGTTGAGTTCCTGCTTGGTGCTGGCCATGACACCAGCCTTCTGGTAGTCACCGACACGCTTTTCGAAGAAGTTGGTCTTGCCGGCCAAGGAGATGGACTCCATGAAGTCGAAGGGGTTGGTAGCGTTGTAGTACTTCTTGTTGCCGAGGGCCACCAGCAGGCGGTCAGCGACGAACTCAATGTACTCGCACATCAGCTTGGCGTTCATGCCAAGCAGGCCGCAGGGAAGAGCGTCAGTGAGGAACTCCTGCTCGATTCCGACAGCCTCGACAATGATATCCTCAACCACCTTGGGGTCGGGGCGGTGGTTCATGTGGGAGAACAGCAGACAAGCAAAGTCAGTGTGGAGACCCTCATCACGGGAGATCAACTCGTTGGAGAAAGTGAGACCAGGCATTAGGCCACGCTTCTTCAGCCAGAAGATGGAGGCGAATGAGCCGGAGAAGAAGATACCCTCCACAGCGGCGAAGGCAACCAGACGCGAAGCGAAGGTTGACTCACGGTCGTTGATCCAGCGGAGGGCCCAGTTGGCCTTCTTAGCAATGCAGGGAACTAAGTGCCAGGTTAGACAATTGGACAAATATCAAGTCAATGGGAGAATCACTCACTAGTGTCAATAGCATCGAAGAGGTAGGTACGCTGCTTGGGCTCCTTGATGTAGGTATCGATGAGCAGAGAGTAGGTTTCAGAGTGGATGTTCTCCATCATGATCTGGAAGCCGTAGAAGCAACGGGCCTCGGGGATCTGAACCTCTCCACTGAAGCGCTCAACAAGGTTCTCGTTGACAATACCGTCGGAGGCGGCGAAGAAGGCGAGGACGTGGGAGACGAAGTAACGCTCATCGTCGTTCAAGCGGTTGTGCCAGTCGTGAAGATCCTTGGAAAGATCGATCTCCTCGGCGGTCCAGAAAGAAGCCTCGGCCTTCTTGTACATTTGCCAGATCTGTGAAATGAGGGATACGGTTAGCTTCAATGTTCACAGTGGCAGAACATCTTTGTCGATATCCACTTTACGCGTGGGACGCGTCGACGACGTGACTTACCTCGTGGTACTTGATAGGGAACATGACGAAACGGTGGGGGTTCTCCTGGAGGAGGGGCTCTGTCGCTTCCATCTCCTTGATGGTCAGAGGCTTGGACGCGAGAGCCTTCTCGGTGGGCTTCTCAATGGGGGCATCGACGGGCTTCAGAGACGCGGGCGCGTTCTCTTTGCCAGTCGACTGGAAGTCGAGCTTCTTAATAGGTGAATCGCTCATCTTGAGGTTCTCGAGGGAGGAAGCAGCCTAAGAAAAAGTAAATGTTAGCTCAAACGAACTTCACGACGCGTCGGACGCGAGAGGCGAGAGGCAAGAGACGTGACATCACGTACCTGTTTCGAGGGAGTGACTTGAGCGGCCATTGGAACAATTATGTGAGAAATGTGATATCACAAGAACAATTATTGAGAACAAAGGCAGCAGGTAAGAATGAGACAGAAGCCTTGATAGTGGGATTGGAACTTTGGAGTTGGACGAGGGAAGAGAAACTCGATTAAGTACTGCCGATTTCTCTTTAGCGCGACGTGCTAAGTCACGTCGCACGTGACCGCGCGCACCGCTTAGGTAATGCACGGCGCGTGTTTTTCCCAGCCCTTCTTTCCTATTTGGGCGATTTCTTTCTCATGCCACTTGGATCCCAGCGACATCCGAAAGGATAGTCCTTGGCCGAGCTTGGCCGAGCTCCATTCCAGCTCCATTCTTGTGCATGTGAATATAGATTTTGTAGTACTTTGTTTGTAGGTTTGTAGATTCCGATCTTATCTACATCTGTATATCACTCCTTCTCGAATCTGATACATACATAATAGTGAATATCCAATCCATATAACAGTATCCAGCCACTACTTATGTAGCTTCATAAACCTACATATAAGACATCAACAACTCCCACGCGTCTCCAATTTTCGGTCCCCACTATTGATCACGATCAGATAAGCCAGACAATCCACTTGGGCACAAAAACACGCGACGCGACTAGCAAAACAATCCGGATTTACGGATCTAATTGGTTTGGTTATTGGTCTAGATCCTGGCGTTAGCATCTCATTTGCCAATTTTTAGTTTATTTTTCATGGCGTAAGGGTTTGCTCAACTCTCCACACACGCGTTCCATCTGCTGTACCTGTTAACATGTTCCAGGGGTTATTCTCAAGCGTTAATCTCGACTTGATACATGATGTGCCTAGGTAGTCCATAGCATTTCAAACAAAGCGAGCAAGATGTGGCTGCTCCTGTCAAGTCTCAGGAATGAAGGATCGTTTACCCTTTACCCCATAGGAAGTTTCTTAGAGTGGACCGAAAAGGAAAGTGCCGATCATCTTAGCTGCGTCATGCTTAGGCAGCTAACGTTAGGGGTCTTTGTTTGACCATTTTACGGAGTCAAGTCAGATTGGTATAATATCTACGGAGTACGGAGTACAAGGACCACAGTCGTCTATATTGTACGGTATATTTATTGACACTGTTCCCAAGGGTCGAATGCAATGTGGCGAGTAATCCCTTGCAAGTGCCATTGAGATATCTCCACCTGCCAGGTTTGAGCTCTGGATGCACTGGCAACCCCACATACCTCTAGACTAGTGGACTAGTGGGAATACTAGCAGGGAAGTGCCTTGCATCACCACGTGCTAGCGCGTTCTCGTGTTTCGCGATCTGTACCGGGGAAACCAACAGTGGGGGATCAGATAATGCGAAGGTACATACCCGAAAGGAATTTCCAATGCTTGCAATATGCGAAGAACAATATGTACAGACTTGCGAATTTTGAAATCAACAGCTACTCTACCGAACGCCAGGTATATTCCCGGTGAGAAGCAATTGTGCGGTGCAGAACATTCGAAAAGAAACCCCAGCCAGGCAATGCATACACTGGTAATGGATCTCGCAAGAAGACCCCTTCAAAATATATCCCATAAGGTGCTTAGATTCCCTCGCGGAAAGAGTCGGGCAGGATCCGGTTCTCGACACGGCGCATCAGCTTGTTAGTCTGCTCAGCCAGACTCAGGGTCAAGATCTAGAAGTGGGGTTAGTACATGAATAATACCAAAGCAAGGCTCAACTCCTGTCACTTACGGTGTGGGGAAGGATACGGGCGAGATGGGCGAAGAAGCCCTTGTAAATGGCAAGTGGACCCTCGGTGCGGATAGTCTTGAGCAAGCAATCAAACACACCACCGTAGAGGTTTCCTGTCTGGTTGTACATACGAGCCATGATCGTGTCTAGAGTGAAAGTCAGCGAAGAACGTATAGCCCCATGTTCAAGATAGCATACCAGGGGGGTGCATGCAGCAGCACACAACAAATCCAGACGCTGCACTACTAGCCAGATGCAAAGCAGGACCCTCCTTCATGCCCAGGTGGCGGGTCAAACGGCGCTTGGCAAAGAAATATGTGGGGAGCTGCACGGCACTGCCGAAACTGGTGCGGATCATAGCAGCATCGACACCACGGTATATGCCCCTAATACCCTCGCTCTTGTAGATCTTGCTAAGGCCATCAAAGGAGTTTTTATAGTTGTGCTGGGTGCCGACGGGGAGGAACGGCGAGTAGGACTGAAGACGGGTCTTCACAAGGAAGAAAGGCGACCCTGCTGCAGCACCAATGACACCCGAAGCAGCTCCTGCAACGACATTGGCACCGAGGGATTGGACCTTGGGATCTTTGTATATAGCATTTGTGAGGTTTGCGCGGATAGGTTCGTAGAAGCCCAGACGGCAGCCGTTAAGCAAGACCTGGTAGATATACTACATGACCTGAATGTTAGATCAATGCGTCTTTATATGCCATTTGGAGAGGACATCACATACAGCAGATCCAATACCTCGGAACAGACCCCGAGGTCCTTCATTCTGTAAAATGACTTTGATGCCGTGTAAAGGGCCCTTGTACATCTTCACTGCCTGATTCTTGTTCTGCAATTCACCCTGCAGTTGAAGGCTTGGAACCAATTATAGTCAGTATAATGGTAGCATATCCGGAGTATCAGGAAACCAACCGAATCTTAACCGTCTCGAAACTATGGGTGACCGTGACTGCACCGCATGCTGCAATGCCACCTGCGATGAACGCGCTGTTTAACCACAATTGCTGTTAGCGCAGGCTTTGTATATATCCCACACTTAGACATAACATACCCCGCAGTAGTAGACATAGCGCCTTATATGTGACTTGCGCAGATTTGTCGGTTAGCGGAGGAATATCGGACCTGGACAAAATAAATGCGGCCAGTAGCGGAGATTCCACGGGATATGTGCAATTTATTGAGGCTGTATAGCCAAGTCGCAATTTGAAGTATAGGTGAGTAATATGAACGAATGCACAATATTTTCACCTAGGGCCAGATATTGCAGAAGTTGAGTCAAGACGCGCCCTGAGATAACCGTGGACATAAAAGCTTACATGCGGCGAACTGGGACTCGGTGAAACGCTCATTGGTCAATTGAGCCTGGGGCCTCCGGCGTCGGCCCCGGAATTCTTATGTCAGCCGAGGCGGTGAGGCGCGCAAAAATACCCAGTCGCGGAGCTTCAATTTGGAGCTTATCAGTTCTATGTATTTTTTGCCTCTTTTTCACGTTCCCGTCAAGCTCTTATTATTCGCAATCTGCAATTCCTTCATATAATATATCTTAAGGACCCTTCACCGACCATACCGCCATGGCTGAAAGCCAATCAACACCTCAGCAGGGTCCGGTCCCCGCCCAAGCTCCCCTCAAGTCGCAGAAAATCACGGATATCATTGACACCTTCAGACCATCCAAGGTATGTCCAATTGAATGTTGGGACTGTGGCACCATTCTGATATGATTATTCTGTAGGGGTTCCACCCTTGTAAAAAAGACCCGTCCAAATACGTGACCTCTTTGGACTTTGATGACCAGGGCGACGTTCTGATCGGAGCCGGGAACGATGATAGTATGCATGTTTATGACGTGAAAGAGGGCAAATACAATAAATCGGTTGCCAGCAAGAAATACGGTGTTCATCTTGCGCGATTCACCCATCACTCTCGCCAGGTCCTTCACGCGAGTACCAAGATTGATAGTATGCGACTGAATGCCTTTGCTTTTGGCTACCCAGCTCACCATTGACAGATAATTTGCGGCTACTGGATCTTCACAACGAGGGATACATACGATATTTCACCGGCAATAACGACCAAGTAACTTGTCTGGCTCAATCCCCGGCCAGCGACGCCTTCATGTCGTGCTCCAAGGACGATACTGTGACATTGTGGGACCTGAATTCCAGGAACCCGCAGGGAAAGCTCAACCTTGCGACACCATACCTTGCTGCCTTTGACCCTTCGGGTACAGTCATTGCAATCGCCTCTCAATCCACAGCTTCAATCCTTCTTTACGACTTCCGCAACTTTGACAAGTCGCCCTTCTCCACCTTCGACCTTGCACAATACGAGGAGAGATTCACACCGTCAACGCGAGGACGAGCATGGACTCGATTGGAGTTTTCCAATGATGGAAAATATTTGATGCTTGGAACGGACTACCATGGTCACTTTATTCTAGATGCCTTTGATGGTACACTCAAGGCTTTCCTAGAAGGCAAGAGTGGATCATCTGGTCGTGCTGCACCGGTGTCTACGACCGGCAAGCCGCTCGGACAAGGCGACGCCTGTTTCACTCCCGATGGTCGATACGTTATTGGAGGCAATGGTGATCAACACGGTATGCTCGTGTGGGACTTGGGACAGATCGCCCGGGGGGACATCACACTGCAGCCCTCGGCCAGGTTGTCTGCTCCAAATCGCGCGGCCATGGTGGAATACAACCCGCGTTACAATATGATCGCCAGTGCCGACAAGGAAATCATCTTCTATGTCCCTGACGACCACGGCAAATCTTCAGAGAAGTAAATAAAATCTGATAGCGCGATGGAAAGGACCAAGTTCTCCGATTTTCTCTCAAACTCTCAGCCAATCGTTGTATAAAACATACTGCATGATTGGATGCCCAGCAGAACAATGGCACCATGTTCAGAAATTGTCAACGTCAAGAAAAGCGCCTTCTATCCCAACCGTCTAGCAGATGACCGAACCTCTATGCTTATACTTTTCGATCTTTGTCCTTGCCCACCAAACTTCGTGCCGTGTCACAGATCCAAACGTCAGGGCCTCTTAGGTCATCATCGCCTTTCCTGTTGTCCTCAACGGTGGCCTCGATTTGTTTGTCAATTGTGCGATTGCTGGAAATGGTTGTCAAACCGGTGACCCAACCGTACAAAAACACGCTCTGATTGATGTCCGATAGGCCTTGTCCAACTTCATGTACCACTGGATAAAGGTGACCTTGTGTCTTGGCCGCGTCAATGACTGGCTGGGCTGCAACCACTTTGATGGGTATTTTCCA